AAGTTTCATAAAGAGCGCGAATGGTAGTGTGATGTAAAATTACTCATGCTAGAAATTTTCATAAAAGTGACCCGATAAACGGCGCTAATGTCGGTAACCCGTGGCCCGATTTTAACAAAACTTGTTTTATTCTGTTTCTATTCTCATTTCATTACAAATATGGCGCTATTTTGTGCCGTTTTTGTTGTATTTAGTTACAGACAAGCAAACAAACAAACAACCTCAGAATTTTAGTAGTATATAGATTATTCTATGAATATGCCACGAATTCATTTCATGAATGATCTTAATTTTGATTGCCTCAAAGGAATTTACCGACGTTTGACTGCCTCGACTTTTCTGCCGTTTTTTTTTTGGTCAAGCTTGATTTCGCAAATACTTTTTTAATTTCAGTTAGCTATAAAATGTGAGGTTAGGTTACACTATAGGGTAGGAGTAGTAGTAGTTGCTATACGCTAGTTGTAGAATAATTAGTTGACATGAAAGCAAGATCACCAATCTTTCTGAAGCACATTCAAACCTGTTAAGTTTACAAGTTGGTGATTTAGGACAAAGATATTTGTTTCCACAGTTTTATGAAAAGATTGAACCAAGGATCGCTCTAGCGATGCTCCTCTGCATATTTTTTTTAAGCAGGTTAAAATTAACCTAGAGTAAGGAAACGATGTGTTTATCTTACACGCCTCGGCTTTGCTGTGTAAAACAGAGTAAACATGTGTGTACCTGATTATATAACGCACATGAAATCAAACATTTACACGTTTTTACGGGTTTGTTTTGAATTTCGCGCAAAACTACATGAGGGCTATCTGTGCTAGCAGTTCCTAATTTAACACTGAAAGACTAGTCATCACCACCCAGCGCCAATTCTTGGGCTACTTTTTTACTAACGAATAGTGGGATTAACAACACATTATAACACTTCCACGCCTGAAAGGGCGAGTATGTTTGGTGAGACGGAGATCTGAACTCGCGACCCGCAGATTGCGAGTCGAGTGCCCTAACCACCTGGCCATGCTAGGCCACGTTTTTATTTCTGTAAATATTAATTATTGAATAAATGAGTAATAAGTTACAAGTGATTATTTATGGAGTTATCTTAACCAAATTAATATACATGTTTTGTGAATAACAAAAAGCTTTTCTTGGGGAAAAGATGGTAGTGTACAGGTTTCCGTAACTGGTCAGTTTCAGCAGTTAACTAATTTTACTGAGTGAGTGTTTAGTTCATTAGTACGGTTCAAACTCACCAGTGGAGGGGGGAGGTCTTGAATTACTAGTGATGACCGTCGTCACTACAATTCAACCCACCAGTGGGGTTTTGAATGGCTAATGATATCCACCAGTGGGGGGGGGGGCTTGAATGGCTAGCAATGAGCAGCATTGAAATTCAGGCCTACAAACTGTTGTGACCCGTGATCAAACCATAAGGACTTACAACGCTAAAATCCAAAGTATCATTCCATACGGAGCACAGAGCGCAGATGGTCCTTTGTGTAGCTGTGCACTGAAAACACACACACACAAATCCTCCATGTTCAAAGTTTTCTGAGTTTCTGTATGACACGGAAGCAAGGAGAGATAGAAATGGGGAAAAAACTATTCTAAAGCCACGTGATCCAAATTAATAATAAAGTTTACTTTCTTCTTCTAGCATCATTTTATTGAGGTTTTAATAATCACAAAAAAACCTTATACTAAAGCCACGTGATCCAAATTAATAATAAAGTTTACTTTCTTCTTCTAGCATCATTTTATTGAGGTTTTAATAATCACAAAAAAACCTTATACTAAAGCCACGTGATCCAAATTAATAATAAAGTTTACTTTCTTCTTCT